TAGCTAGTGACAATGAAGATCAAAGTTCATCTTAAAATATTTCCAGTTCTTACGTTTACATCATTCATTCAAAATTTAGACCCTTAAAATCGATCTATACAGTTTCGATTGACCGCAAGATCTAAGAATAAAGTATTTTCTTTAGTGAATTAAAAACATTCATAACTCAAATTAAATCAAATAAAAATCTGATTGTAATTTTTAGAGCTATATCGAGAAATATTGTAATTTTTAGAATCTAATAACAGAGTTGCTTGAATCCACTTAAGTAACGAAAAATATTATTTTTTTGCCGTCTGCATATGGAAAAGTTTTTTCAAGCTATTAATCTTACAAGTGATTTCATTATATATTACTCGATTTATCTGCATAATTTTATATTTATATAAAAGATTCAAGTTTAATATTAGGTATTTTTTTTCCTCATTTGCACGTCATATATAGTACATACTTAAACCTATTATATATATGGGACTATGGGAGTGTTATTTCGCCGTTATAATCGTTAGAACTTAGAATATATATATGGTGTTGTAAGGAAATTATTGTCCAAAATTTTCAAAAGATAAAAATATGTATAGTATCATAACATGTCATTAAAATTTTATTTTAACTATTTGCAACTATTTTATAAAAAAATGCAACAGCCCAAAAGGACCCTTCTGTGAAAAAAAAAAAAAAAAAAAAAAAAAAAAAAAACAGATCAGAATCAGATTTTGATATTGAATTTACTTTAAAATGGACATTTAACTTATTTCAAATTAAGTTCAGAAACTGATTAATTTGAATCATAATATTTTCATTCAAACTAATTTTCTTGCCTAAGCAAATTTATTTTGAAATTAAAATTTCAAGACTAGGGCGTTCAATAGTGCATAATATTATATTTTTATGTATTATAATAATAGTACTGTTATTATAATCTCATATTTAAAAAATGTTGTTGTTGCATCCTAGAGTATTCATGGCGATAGAGAAATATAAAATTTAATGTATTAGTGTTGTTCGAATATCCAGCACACATACAAATAAAAAGAGAGTGTACGTCATTCAATAGAAACACTAAGATTTTTACATTAAATACTTCTGAAAAAAGGGAGAAAACCCACGGGGCCTAGCCCAGTTTGAATGAATCCACTATTATTTGCATTCGATTACAAATTAGGCCCTTCCTTTGGGGGGAAGGCTTTGGCTCGATGTACATCATATGGAGTGCATTACTTAGTAGGAATACAAAAAATCATTGTTGTTTTGTTCGTTTGGTCAGAAGGACCATAGTCTGGTGACGGAGGACAGAAGAATTGTAGTCGGTGGGTGACGTAAGTTGGAAGAACAGTAGTCGGCAGGGGACGGAGGTCATAAAGACCGTTGTCTAGCGACGAAGGTCGGAAGGACTGTAGTCGGTGCTCTACGTAAGTCAGAAGGACTGTAATTGGTGGGCGACGGAGGCCATAAAGACTGTTGTCTGACGGCGGAGGTCAGAATGATGGCATCGGGTAGAAGTCCAGCAATAGGCATAAATCCAACATCGCATATATGTCCGACGCGAAAATTCGACAATGGGCATAAGTCTGATGTCTGGTAGAAATCTGGCGACGAGCGGAAACTACGATACCGGACGACCAATGCCAAGCCGCCGGCAATGGCATTACACCGCCGGTAATAAACCGGCGGTTATCAACGGCCACCAGCTGTGTTACGGTGGACGTCCGGTGGTGTACACCGTCGGTAATACCGACGGCTGTAACCGCCAGATACCGCCGGTAAATGAACCGGCGGTCTACCGGCGCTTGCTGGCGGTTTAAGAAACAAACGACGCCCGCTTTAACCGCCGGAAGACCGTCGGTAATATGACCGCCGGTCAGCCGTCGGTCAGATAACCGGCGGCGTAACGGCCGGAAAACCACCGGGTCCAAATCCGGTTGTCACTGGCGGTATGAGCCGTCGGAAAACCGCCGCCAACATAAACCGCAGGTACAAAACCGCCGGTACATGTTTCCTACGCGATTTTTTCCGGCGGCGGGAATACCGCCGCAAAGCCGTCGGTAATCCATAAAACCGCCGGAAAAAACCGCCAGATTTTGGCGTTTTTCCTGTAGTGATGTTCGACGTCGGATAGAAGTCCGACATTAGTTGGCGGCCGGGGAGAACTCCAGCGTTAGATGGTATTCAGGCGAAAACTCTAGAGTCACTTGGAGATCGAACAGAACTCCAGCGTCACTTGGGCAGAATTCCGACGACACTAGAAAGTTGGGCAGAACTCTGGCGTCACTTTAAAGTCTGACGGTGGTCGAGGAGGAACTTCTTCCCTCCTCTTCTTCTCTTCTCCTCTCTTCTTCCTCTTCTTCCTTTGGTCCCCTCTCAAGAGAAATGAGGGGTTATTTATAGTTTTTTTTAGGATGACATGACCCGTAAATAGGAGGAGGATCAAGGGCAAATGTGGAGTGGTTCAGATGGATGGTTGATATTGAATCCCTTGATCGTGGACCGTTTGTCAGACATTTGAAGGTCTTAATGATATCGGAATTCGGTGATCTTGGGCTCGTTCGATTCGTCTCATCGAGCTGCTCAATTCAACTATAAGCATGTCATGTTTGGAAACCGTTTCGTAATCCAAATTGTGGTTTGAACCTTCTAACAGTGCTTCGGGTCTTTGATTTGGACCCATTTGGGCTCGGATCGAGTTGAATTTGGTGTCGTTGGGTTCATATTTCTGAGACGCTCATATCGACTATAAGTTTATTGAAATTGGAGTTCAGATGATCCCAAATTTAATTTTTAAAGTTTCCAACTTGATTTTTGCCTCGAGATTCGTGTCCGATCCAGATAATTTTTTGATGACATATCAGTTATATTACTCAATTTATTTAATCATGAATTATGTAAGAAAAACATTCACTTACAAAACAGTAATTTATTAAACATATTTTTTACATTAATGCAATTTATTTTAACAAAATTAACCAGTTAAAATAAAAAAAACTGAATGTTAGATTTGAGATTTCTGAAATTATTTATACGGTTATACCGGCTAGATTTTCTGTGTTGATTTTGGTCCACATCCTAAGCATGAGCTCTTATTATAGGTTATTTGATTTAGGGTTTATTTTCTCACTACTAAAAAATGGGATTTTTCGCAACACTTGTCATGGGCGGTTTGAAACCCGCTGTCAAAAGTGGGTATTAGCACCAGTTTAAACCGGTTCTACTAAAGAATACTAGCAGCGGTTTAAACCGGTTAAAAAACCAGCGGTTTAAGCGCTGCTATTGCCACACCCTCCCCTCTTATACTCGTTGGACTCTCACAGCTCGCAGTCCACGACCTTCTTCTTCTCTTTCGATCCCGAAACCTTCTCCGTGCGACCCTTCTCCCCATGCGCTCGATTGTTCGATCATTCTCGATCTCACGGGCTTGTTTCAATCGGAGTCATCGTCGGCGCCAAAGATTGAAGTCCGGCTATCCGCTCGTGTCCAGTTCCTTCGATCTCCCTGCTCGGTATAAACCCTAACTTGGATTTTTTTTTCCAAATGCTTGCACATTAGGTCGAAAAAGATGATAATTAACGAAATGACCTCATTATTGTGAATTTATTTATATGATTTGGAAAAGTTTACAATGTTGTTAGAACAAAAATATCGATTCGGTGGTATGAGTTGTAAACATTTAAAGTTTTTTTATGCATAAAATATGCTTTGGATTTCATAGTTTAGAATGATATGAATGCCTCCTCCTAAATGAGTAGATAAGCTCTAGGAACATGTATAATGAAGATGTAAATGATTAAATACAATTTCAAGTAGACCTGTCATATATATATATAAAGGAAAAAAAATCAAGTGAGTAATTTATCCCAAACTTTTAACCGCCACATTTCTGAAGATCGATTATTATTATTATTATTATTATCGTGGCGGTTATAACCACCACATTTCTAAAAATTATTTTTTTATATCATAGTGGCGGTTATAACCGTTGCAGTTTTGCTTTGTTATAGTGGTTATAATCACTGCTAAATTCAACATTCATCATTTCTACCCCGCCGGTCCTGAAACCGCTGTTGAATGTCGTTGCAGCGCATTGTAATCATTGGCAGACATCCAGTGGTTAATTATAATACGGCTGCAAAAATATTATTGGCGAGTAAAACGTCGGGAAAAGCCTAAATTTGTGCTGTGAAAACCCGTTTTTTAGTAGTGATCTATAGGACAAATATTTATTTACTAATTTTCAATCTAATTTAGCTGAAATAAAGTATTACAAAATATGTGATATATTAATGATATTGGACTTGTCCAAATGCTCAAACACGGATATCATGACTTGGCCATTAACCCTCATTAATCAGGATGGCCTCAAGTCTCCCGCATATATATACCGAAGTCACCATATCATCATCAGCTATGTCACAACTTTTTTAAAATTTAATTTTATGAGTTATATTATTTATTTATTTATTTATATTGAGTGTAATACTAGATCTTATATATATTCATTTGAAGCAAAAAACTACATATATTTATATCAACTTCATCCGCTATGTCACGACATTTTCTTTTTCAATTTAATCCTTTTTCATTGCAGGTACCTTTATTAACACTAATTTTTCGAATTTAGTTCTTTCTCATTCTATTATTTGCAAGGTTATCATAAGTTATTGTCATGTTACGTACTTTCATTACGTACAAAACTTAATTAAATAACAATTTCATATGATCGCAAGTCGCATATTCATAGAATATCGAGTTTAACTTGATAATAAATATTTTAAAAATATATATTGATATAGAAATTTTGGGGTGGTTGACTATTATTTTAAAAAATATATTGATATAGAAATTTTGGGTGGTTGACTATCAAAATTATAAGCATAATTTAATATGTAGACGCTCGCAAAGTGCAAGATGGCGTCAAGAGTTAGCTATTTCCTGGGGGAGACCGTATCTATCTCATAGCCTTACCGGCTAATTCTATAACCCTAGCCCTCCCTTCTTATAAAAGATGACGAAAACGAGAAGAAGAAGAAAAAAAAGAAGAGCTCAATGGAGTCTCACTTGATCGTCCCGTCCATGGCTCTTCTGATCTCCATCTCCCTTCTCCTCCCTTCTTCCTTTGGTTTGTTAATTATTTACACATTATATATATAATATGCTCGATCGTCAGCATATATAAATCTAAGATATATGATAAATTAATTAATTATAATGCAGGCAGCGTGATCTGTGAGGATCTGCCGTTGGATCTATGTGCTTTCTCCATCTCATCAACAGGCAAACGTTGTCTTCTGGAGATGAGTTTCCCCAATATGGAACATGAATATCAATGCACGATGGCAGATGTGAAAGTAGAAAGAATTTCAGATTGGATTGAAACGGATGACTGTGTAAAGGCTTGTGGTGTTGATCGGAGTGCGGTCGGCATATCATCAGACGACTTTCTTCAGCCGCGCTTCACTGCTAAGCTTTGCTCATCAGCGTGTTATCAGAGTTGCCCAAATATTGTTGATCTCTACTCAAACCTTGCGGCAGCAGAAGGTAAAATCAAACTTCGAAATGCTATTATTGTATATATATCTTATGATGATCAGTTATAATATATATCTCGATCTCAGTTGAACCTTTATTCTCTTCCTGCAGGTGTCTACCTTCCGGACTTGTGCGAGGCCAGACGGTTGAACACTCGGCGGTCCATAGTGGAGCTCAGATCCGGCGTCGCAACCGGTCCGGCTGCTTCAGGCCTCGTCGCCGTTGCTCCGTCTACGGCATAGTAATCACTTGAGATATCTATTATCTGTGTCGGCTCTTATTTAAAGACTGAAAGTGGAGTACTATAGAGATATGTAAGGAGTTAGAAAAACTAAAATAATTAATTTTAGATGAAATAGTTTCATTTATTTGCTATCACAATTTTAATGGCATGAATCCTTTAAGAAATTATGTTAAGGCTAGGGCGTCTCCTGGAAGCGACGCGCTGTATGACCTGAATACAGTGACAAGTGTGCAAGGGCCGCTGCACCGGCGCCCGGGTGCAGTGTTAAATAGGCAAGGGTTCCCAAATCAAGGACAAATGTGGGCAACCACTACAGGAAAAACGCAAAAATCCGGCGGTTACTATAAATTAACCGGCAGTTTTATGGATTACCGGCGGCTTTGCGGCGGTATTTCAACCGCCGGAAAAAATCGCGTAGGAAACATGTACCGGCGATTTTTTACCGGCGGTTTATTTTGGCTTGAAATTTCTCTTGAGAGTGATGTTGCAACTTAGTTTTTATAACTATATTTTCATATCATGTGTATTTTTTATGATTAAAAAATATTATTATTTTGATTACTTATTATCTTAACATATATTGGAAATTTTACTTTCGTTGTGTGTGTGTACTAACGTTTCAAAGAAATTATACTCTAAACAGTTAAAGACTTTAAGTCAGATTAGATTAGAGTTTAATGTTTTTGAAGTTTATATTTTTAATACTTTTCTTGAGTCTGAGAGAGTGTGATTGTAATTGGATAACCGTACACACACACACACTGGTGCAGTGTAAAAATTTGTAAATTTTTTAAAACTAATCATACTATACAATTTTGGATCACATGGGATGATTTGGCTTAAGCATTCATCTAGAAAGTAGTTAATCAAACCATGTCAAGAAAATTTTCAAAGTCTTGTTCA